GATACAACAAATGATTTTTTATTGTCTGGATATATTACTGATACAACAAATGATTTTTTATTGTCTGGATATATTATTGGTACAACAAATGATTTTTTATTGTCTGGATATATTATTGATGCTACAAGTGATTTTTTTATTATCTAAATATATTATTGATACAACAAATGACTTTTTCTTGTTTGGATATATTATTGGTACAACAAATGATTTTTTATTGTTTGGATATATTATTGATACAACAAATTATTTTTTATTATCTGGATATATTACTGATACAACAAATGATTTTTTTAAATTATCTGGATATGTTATTGGTGCAAGAAGTGATTTTTTTATCTTAATATATTATTCATGCTATAAGTGATTTTTTAAAATTATCTAGATATATTGTTGACGTATGTGTTCAGGGCGCTCTATTCGCAATATTCGGGTCGCGTGACTTTTCGAATTCCCGTCCCACCAAATATGCTTGCCTTTCAGCTGTGGGGGCGAAATAATGGTCAATCACACTATTCGTTGGTAAATATAGCTCAAGAGTTGGCGTGTGATGACTAGCTTTCTTCCCTCTAGTCTTTCACTGTTAAATTAAGGATGGCTAGCGGATAGCTCTCGTAAAACTTTGTGCGAAACGAAATCCAAAACAAACTAAACCAGATCCAACAGCCAAACTCTAAATGAAGTATGTCCAGACCAGATTATCCAACCAAACTCTAATAAAGTATGTCCAGACCAGATTCTCCAGCCAAACTAATAAAATATGTCCAGACCAGATTCTCCAGACAAACTCTAAATAAAGTATGTCCAGACCAGATTCTCCAGCCAAACTCTAATAAACTCTATTCACTGGCCAATCTCTGAATATGTCAAAGCCAAATTCCGTAGCCAGAGTATTCCCAGCATGTGTAACCTATAAGTAAACCATAATCAGTTATTCCCAGCACGTGTAACATATAACTAAACCTGTTAGGGCCAGGCCTAGTCTATTGGTTAATATGCCTGGACTGTGAATCAGAGTATTCATGGTTCGCGTCCCCTAGCTGCAAAAATGTGCTCTGCGTTTTGGAATCGTGGGGTCTATACGTAATGTTCAAGTGCCCCACTATTCATTCACAAACTAAATATTGACGAAAAAAATGATTTTTTTTAATTCTCCAGATATAGTGTTGATGCAATTGAAACACCCGTACTTAATAAATACAATAAATAAATAATCCATTATCGGCTTTATATAAAACAAAAATATTGTATGTTAAACAACTCGAAATATTCAGGCATTTGACAAAACAAAAAATATTAGGGGATAATAATAGTATGAATTAGTTCAATTTTTAGTGCTGAAGAAATGCAATTGATTTATGAATTGTTTTGTTTGTGTTTTGAAAGGGTGGTTTTAATGTTTATATTCCAAAAGAGGATCTTTATATTAACTTCATTTATATAAAATGTTTAAAATATACCGTCTAAAACACAACAACCTCGTCGACGACATGAAATATTTCTTTGTTACAACTCTAGCGTGAAAACCTTCCTTAGTTACCACTATAGCGTGAAAAACTTTCCTTAGTTACCACTATAGCGTGAAAAACCTTAGTTACCTTTCTAGCGTGAAAAACCTTCCATAGTTACCATTCTAACTTGAAAAACCTTCTTTAGTTACCCCTAAAACGTTAAACCTTCCTTTGTTACCACTCTATAAGGGAAGAGGGGGCACCTTGTGTGTTATGTTCACAGTGATCATTGAATTTAAAATGGTCCCTTGAGAATTATACACCAATTTCTGTTCCCCATTGAAAGGGGCACTTCACGATCGGGTCAAAATATAGGAAAGCTTACGCCCTCCCCCTCCGGTTCCGTCGAATATGACTCGAATTGACTTATTTTACTTTTGCGAAAATAACAGTTACCAGTCTTTTCTAGAAATGATAGTTCGAAAAATAAACACTGTAATCGGTCTGTTTTTATCGTTATTATAGATTAACAAATCACACGATTTTTACAGAAACAAAATTCTCAACTTATGTAACAATTTATACCGTACCATAAATTACCATTGGGGCAGTGTAATTGGTTGATTCGGCCACGTTTTCTGCTACACACGTGTAATTACCACTGTGCCTCAGCTGAAGTCGATGGAACTTCAGGAATGTGGAGAACTCGTCGATCGTAGACTCGGTGACTTCCAAATATGAGGGAATGGTTTTTCCATCCTTTAACCAAGAGATTCGAATAGGGGTGTCTCCTTTCGTAACGGAGCAGAGGATTTTAGATCGAGATCCTTCCTCTAATCCAGTTTGGATAATAAATGGCTCAATGACCGGGGGAACTGTGGTTAAAAAAACGAAGGAAATTCGGTGAATAAATAGTTCAGATTATACACAGGTTAGTGTCATATGAAAATGTGTAGAAGAACGTTACGTCTATAAACGATTCACATACAATTGAAAATGACAAGGACTCGAATCGAGCAAAGAATAATAATTTTTAACTTTGCACAGTAGAGTAGGTAAACTAACCAAACTATAGGTAAGATAACTTTATAAATTCAACAAAACTGATGTCAAACAACACTGGTGTCAAACAAAAATTATGTAAAACAAAAACGATGTTATACAAAAATGATGTCAAACAAAACTGATGGTAAACGCTTTAGTGACAGAAGCAATTGAAATGATAGGAAAATGGGTAGTCGATATGGTAACAAGATAAACAAGGAGAAGAGAACACGGATGTAAAAACCAGGTGGTAATAAGGCGATGCAAACATTTGGGATGCTAAACAGTTCAATGAAAAGGTCATTTAAAGGTGAAAAGAAAAATAGAAAGACTCAATGACAATCAGTGCAATGTGAAGAAGGAAGTTCGTAACATAATAGAAGAAAAGACAGGATTGAAAGAAGAATATGATTAGGATGTTAAATGACAAGTACAGTGACGTGGGAAAATACAAGCAGTTGTAATAGCTACAGTCTTGATGCAAGAAACACTCGAACTGGTAATATCTAGATGGAATATCAAATATCTCCAGTACGATAATGGGATTGTTGGAAATGTAAACGAGCCAATTACAAGAGTGATTTTGATCTATAGCTCAAGAACATGATCTTCAGGAAACCGAGCCAAACATGGCACAACGAAACGCTAAGTCTCAAGGACAACGAAATTTCATTCTGATATTCGTAAACATTCGCCAATAACTTCCATTTGCTTGAATCTCCCGTAATTTCTAGTGTTAACTGATAAGGAAAGATAGTTCATATTTGTAGATGTAATTATTAATTAAATTCCAAAAGGTTGTTTTAGGAGAAGCGAGGGATTAATCTTATTAACTCGTAATTTAATGACGAAATCGATTAACGATATCTGCTCTAATGGTGTCCCTAACATTTTAGGATATTATCTTCCTACCGCCAATGACGTCGCAAGCTGAACCGGCTGGGAATCCAATACTTAGATGATGTTGGGGAACGAATACTACTAGTTCGTGTGTTAAGAGTAAAATAATGCCACTGCTCTTACAAACTTGGGATGTTGAAATAGTATCGTTAACGTTTTAGAAGTGACAAAATTCAAAACAGCGTTCTACAAGTTTAATAATATTCACTCCAGTATTATACGAAATATAGTCCTGTTCTTTCGATTTGCATTTTCCAGGGTTATTGATGAGGAGTAGAATTCCCCGAAACAGATATAACTCAGTGACAATCGAATGACTTCATATTTATTTTTAGTACACGAATTGTTCATTGTATTTGTAAAAGTTATTTCAGTAAAAAGGTATTTCACAAACTGTTGATTCTATTGGAAAATAATAAAAGATCAGTATTTATGAGAAACTTAAAAAGTAAAGATTATTTTTTATTACAGTTGATCAAATTAAGATAAATAGCCGAGTTAATTAAGTTATTAAAATTAATCTTCCAATGGCATTAAAATAAAAGAAAGAATATGTCGAAGATTACAACACATACTCAAGATGTTCAGAAACATTTTACTATGACCACGTTGACCCTTCCGGTTTCTGGCCACACAGGAGTATTCTCCCTCGTCACTACGTCGTTCCACGTCTCGGATGATCATAGTTCCATTATTGAACGCCCTCTGGCGATGATTATAGGGAATTCTCCTGCCATCTGTAGTGCAACGAAACATATATCGAAATCTCGCCGAGTATTTCTAAGTACTATTTATAAAGGGGCATATTGTGCTTATAAAACAAACAATACTTTACTGAACATTTCTAACAAACAATACTTTACTGAACATTTCTAAGTACTATTTATAAAGGGGCATATTGTGTTTACAAAACAAACAATATTTTACTGAACATTTCTAAGTACTATTGATAAAGGGGCATATTGTGCTTATAAAACAAACAATATTTTACTGAACATTTCTAAGTATTATTTATAAAGGAGCATATTGTGCTTATAAAACAAACAATACTTTACTGAACATTTCTAACAAACAATACTTTACTGAACATTTCTAAGTACTATTGGTAAACAAACAATACTTTACTGAACATTTCTAAGTACTATTGATAAAGGGGCATATTGTGCTTATAAAACAAACAATATTTTACTGAACATTTCTAAGTACTATTGTAGTAAACAAGCTAACTAAACAGCTTCTGAATATCACCTGGTAACTCAACCAGTCTGTGTTTATTGTTTTCTAAAAGTAACATGATAATGGATACTGAATGTTCTTATACATTAGAAGTTATATTGGATAAAGTTTAAAAATATATGTTGTAATAGATAACGGTCTTATAAAATCAGCGTGGTAACGGATAATGTCCCTCTAACAGAACATAATGGATAATGTCCTTCTAACATGATATAATGGATAATGTCCTTCTAACATGATATAATGGATAATGTCCTTCTAACATGATATAATGGATAATGTCCTTCTAACAAGATATAATGGATAATGTCCTTCTAACAGGATATAATGGATAATGTCCTTCTAACAGGATATAATGGATAATGTCCTTCTAACAGGATCCAATATTACATTACCTATGGAAGAACATTCTCCAATATTACATTTATGGAAGAACATTATCCAATAGTATATTACCTTTGGAAAAACATTATTCGAATGTTCTTCCATAGGTAATGTAATATTGGAGAATGTTTTTCCAAAGGTAATGTAATATTGGATAATGTTCTTCCATAGGTAATGTAATATTGGAGAATGTTTTTCCAAAGGTAATGTAATATTGGATAATGTTCTTCCATAGGTAATGTAATATTGGAGAATGTTCTTCCATAGGTAATGTAATATTGTAGAATGTTCTTCCATAGGTAATGTAATATTGGATAATGTTCTTCCATAGGTAATGTAATATTGGAGAATGTTCTTCCATAGGTAATGTAATATTGGAGAATGTTCTTCCAAAGGTAATGTAATATTGGAGAATGTTCTTCCAAAGGTAATGTAATATTGGAGAATGTTCTTCCAAAGGTAATGTAATATTGGATAATGTTCTTCCAAAGGTAATGTAATTTGGATAATGTTCTTCCATAGGTAATGTAATATTGGATAATGTTCTTCCATAGGTAATGTAATATTGGATAATGTTCTTCCATATAGTTAAACGATTAAATATATTTAAGAAGGATAACTAACTAACTGTTGCTTATCTTTAGATGCCAGTTTATGTTCTACTTCCATTACAAATGTTACAAAGTATTGACTGGATCTTGATTTGTACCAGAAACGTTTGACGGACTCACTGTGTTGCCAGCGGATTTCTTCTATGGGATAGCCGGAAGCAGGACATCTCGTGTTAAATGTCCTTCCTTCTACAGCCGTCATGTTCTGCATCGGCCGGACAAAAGGTGGACCAATCACGTTTATCTTTTCTCGGTTCCAAACGGTACCAACGTCATTAGAAGCCTTGCATTTGTAGTAGCCCCCATCTTCCACCCGGATGTGTGTCACGTTAACATAGCTTATTACTTCCGCTTTTGAACTCACAAAGTCTCCGACGGAGAATCGGAGGTGTCCGGGAATAGGATAGTCGTCCAAAACCCAACGGACTTCTGGTAGCGGATTTCCGGAAGCTACACACTTCAGAGAGAGGGTTGATCCAGGCTCTACTGTTATAGACCTAAAGGCTTCCTTTAATGATGGGGCAATATCTGAAAGGTTCCAAATAAGGCTGTCAACGACAAGAGAGCGGCAATTAAAAATTAAAAAAGTACATCATCAAATGTTCCATTCTATGCATCATTACCTATTCTAATTGGGTGACAGATCAACGATCCTATGATAATAAAATTGATACAAACCTTATCTTTATCAGCCAGATCGGGACAAATAAATCCAAGTTCTCAAACGTATTACACTAATAAACTTCGCAATTATCAGACACAACAGATTGATAAACCTGGTACAATATCAGACACAACAGACTGATAAACCTGGTACAATATCAGACACAACAGACTGATAAACCTGGTACAATATCAGAAACAACAGACTGATAAACCTAGTACAATATCAGAAACAACAGACTGATAAACCTGGTACAATATCAGAAACAACAGACTGATAAACCTAGTACAATATCAGAAACAACAGACTGATAAACCTGGTACAATATCAGAAACAACAGACTGATAAACCTAGTACAATATCAGACACAACTGACTTCTAAAGCTGGTATAATATC